ACTAGAGCTTTCAGAGCGCTAAATAATCAGAATCAGCCTTTGAGGTCGGCCCCACTTTTGTTTGTTTTTTGTTTATTTGTTTTTGCCTAATTTATGCATTTAAGGTTTTACTTAAAGTTTTACTTAAACATTTACTTAAAATTAAAAAAAAAGAATAATACATTTTTTCTGAAGCATAACTGAACTTCAAGGATAAGGAAAGAATCTTACAATCACATAGAAAAAAAGAAATCAATGGGGAAAGGAATCAAGTTGGTCTGAGATTTGTCCACTACAAGTAGATACTATAGTAGAATAGAATAAAATAGTTTTTACTATATTCAATTTTTTAAAAAAATGTGACATCTGGTCAGCTAGGTTATCATGTACATCTAAGTCCACAGTTATGTATTTTTGCATATATGATAATTTAGGAATTATAGTCCTCATGAAGCTTCCTGAACAAACTCCTTTAAGAGTTTATGCTACCAGTCAAAATTAATAACCTATAAATGGAGATATTGTGGTAAGAAAAGATTGGTGGTCATCGAATCTGATTAAATATTGTCTTATTCTGGTCTATTAAGTCAGACAATAAAATTTTTTATCATATCATGTAAGAATGTCTATAATTGAGTTAACTACAGGATGCTAAAAAGTATAGAAAAGGGTCCCCAACCCACACTGGCAGTTTGGGTGGAGGAGGTGGCACATGCAGGAGGAGTGTTTCCAAAGAGCAGGCGGGGCTCAGACTGAGACTTCACAGACAAGTGAGTCATCAGGCCAAGTGGGAAAGGGCATTCGTCATGGAGGAACGAGCACGTGGAAGAGACACAGAAGCACGAGAATTGTAAATTAAAAGTTGTGTGATTAGTAATCAGTATATTGAGATTTCTGTAAAATGCTGTCGCTATTCTGTTTACTCGAAGCTTGGAGATTTATTTGAAACTCAACTTCTCATTTGTCTGTGCATCGTCTATGGCTGTCCACAGTGTAGTGGCAGAGTCGAGTAGCTGCAGCAGAGACTTACAGTCTTCAAAGCCTAAAATATTCACTGTCTGACCCTTTACAGAAAAAGTTTGCTGACCCTCGATCTATACAATATACAAAGGACAAACAACTGTTTAAAATGACATATGTAAATAGCACGTTTTCCTATAAATTATGACTTGTTTTAAGTGGTGGAAATCGTGTGTCAGCATAGATTCATTAGTAGGTTTTGGAGAAATGGCATTTCAAGAGCTTGCTGGATAAATGGTTGATCGAAGGGAGAAAGCTTGGTGAACCAAAAGCCAGGAGGGTGGTCCAGTATCAATTTCATATAATTTAGTAACTTGAGAAAAAATATCAGCTTTCTAAGAAATGTCCTCAATTTCATACATTTAAAAAGAATAACATTCCTTAAATGTACATTCATTGAATAATATTTATTAAATATGATTTCATTGCATTGTAAACATTCAAAATTATTGTGGTTAAAAGGAAAAGAGTACCAGTTGATATTTTGATCAGAATAGTTTCTTAGGTTAATTTCAATTAGACTACTATTATTGGCCTTCTTGAAGATTGGATTGGCTGGCAAGCATTGCTATCCTGATCCGATCAAGTTCTAGGAATTCATGATATTTTAGACAGGTGTTTTATATTTGGGTAAAAATCTGTTCACTCACATCAGTGACACTTCCATAAACCATTTTGTTTGGTTCATCCCATAACGAACCCTAAAAGATAAATGCTATTCATAAGTTTTAAAGTTAAAAAATTTTCAATGTGAATTTCATTAACTTTCTTTTTGTGATTTTCTTAATCAGTTTAACAGTGTGAACAAATCTAAAATAATCCCCCCATCGGAAATAGCCCTATGCAAGATTGTGTGTAGTGTTTTTGCCACATGGTGATAGATTCTAATATCAGTAATTTAGCACTTTGATTCTCATTCACAATGACAGTTTAGCAAGCTTCTTTCTTTTTCATATTCTTCTTAAAATTAAATGTTAGGTGATTAGTATATTACTAAAATAATAACTGTAGGCTGGTAAAAAATAACCAACAGGCATTCTACAATATAATTTTCTCTTTGATGAATTTCAGTTAGATAATGAAATTAGAGACAAATAAGATGATAGTATTAACTATTATAAATATGAATTTTCCTTTTCCTGATAAAGAGTTGTCCATTTGGAAAGCATCTTAATCTGATTTAACATTTGTTTTGGGTTTAAATATGCAACACATAAAGATACTTTATAATCTAAGGTAGTAACAGTTTTGTTATTATTTGAATTTTTGTAATATTTGTTTAATGTTCAGGTAATGACTTCATATCTTCTACTTGATTGTTAATGTTTCTTGACTGTTGTGCATCCTTTAAAACTTTGAAAAAACATTTAGCTATATACTAGTCCTTATGTTTTTGTTTTATTTTTTCTAAGGATTCTTATCGTGATAGTGAACTCCTTGAGAATATTTCCATGATGTGATCTCCAGTTATAAACTTTAGAAAAATTATTTATAACCCTTAGATGAAATGCTTCATTGTTCAGACTTTGTTTAGCCACCAAAATTAAGATTTATAGACTTGCTAAATAAATGTATATTTGCCATTTTTTCCTGCCACAATTTTCATTTCATTGGTGAAATCGATTTGTCAGTTTGTTCATTATAATTTTCAATACTAGAGCTTTCAGAGCGCTAAATAATCAGAATCAGCCTTTGAGGTCAGTGTCAGCCTCACTGACCTCTCCTGTGTTGTTACCTGAGTCAGCCTTGCAGGGATTAACCCTTTGTTAGTGTGATAATGTCTTTACTTATGAATTGGCTTTTTAATACTTAAGATTGAAAAAAACAAAAGACAGAACAAAAGTAGCAGACTGAACTCCTGAATTAAAAAGTTGTGGTTTTCCCCCACAAACTATTAAAGTGTGAATTTGAAGTCTGGTATTTAATATTTTACAATACAAAA